ACAGAAGTGCAGCTGCTTCTTTCTCTCGGTCCCCTGGGCTGGCTCATGCTGCCCTCCCCTCCCGAGTCCTGGCTAATGGAGTCACCGTAAAAGCAAAGACGTGGGAGAGACCAGGGGCCTGGGGGAGGCAGCTGCAGCATGGCCCAATTGTAACCTCTCCCAGGGGGTGCTGGGAGGCTGGAGAGGGGTAAGGAGGATGTGTCCTCCGCCTGGCGTCTGCCTGCCAGCCCTGGGAATGCCAGGGGCCCTTGCCTCGCCCGCTTCCCGGCACGTGCAGGCTTCCCAGGCAACTGCCCGGCTGTGTGTAACACGGAGCCGGGGCGGAGGAGCCGGGCTCTCACGTCCACCCTCCAGCTGTGCCATCCCGGCGTGTTACTAACCAGGCCGGGGAGCCTCTCTGGGGTGGGACGGGGTCTCCCTAGGCATGGCCAGAAGGCCCAGAGTGACCCCCCAGCCCTCCCCTGGGCGGGAGCCAACGTTGGTAATACCTAGGGGGCCCTCTAGGGGGCGCTGCACCGGGCAAGAAATCCTCCAAATGCCCCAGCAGCCCGGGAAAGGCCCGGTTGGGGGAGCGAAGCATGATGGGACGCCTGGCCCATAGAGCTTTGTGATACCCCTCCCCTGCCTTGCCCCCATGTCTGCTTGGGGCCTTTCTCACGGGCTGGGCGGGAGCCAACGTTGGTAATACCTAGGGGGCCCTCTAGGGGGCGCTGCACCGGGCAAGAAATCCTCCAAATGCCCCAGCAGCCCGGGAAAGGCCCGGTTGGGGGAGCGAAGCATGATGGGACGCCTGGCCCATAGAGCTTTGTGATACCCCTCCCCTGCCTTGCCCCCATGTCTGCTTGGGGCCTTTCTCACGGGCCCCTGCACCTCTCCCAGCCCCGCCCCCTCCTGAGGCCCCGCCTCCCCATGCGCTCTGCTCTTCCCGCTCCCGCAGATGGTGCAGTCGCTGGGCTTCGCCATCTACCGGGCGCTGGACTGGGGGCTGGACGAGAGCGAGGAGCGGGAGCTGAGTCCGCAGCTGGAGCAGCTCGAGGGCGGCTGCGGCCTGGCGGACGAGGGCTACGGGGGGCAGGACGAAGAGGAGGAGGTGGCGGGGGGGCTCCCCCGGGCCGTGCGCTCCTTCGGGCAGGCCATGAGGCTGTGCGCCGCTCGCCTGACGGCCCCCCGCGAGGCGCAGCTGCACTACCAGGCCGTGTGCAGGGCCCTCTTCGTGGAGATGCTGGAGCTGAAGGCTTTCCTCACCAAGATCCGGGACGCCAAGGAGGTGAGAGGCAGACTCCCCTGCCGGAACCTGGGGCACCCGTCCCCCCCACTGCCCCCACGAGCTTCAGTGGGGCCCATGGCGCATGGCTAGGGGCCCACCCCCTGTGGCTCTGCCATGGGGCTCGGCTGGGCGGCTTCTTCCCCCCTCACCTTGCCCTCTGACCTGCTGCTGCCCCACACTAGC